TTTTGCAACTGCGTCTGATTTTCCTAAACAATACCCCCTTTTCTAAGTAATTATAAAATCGTGCTACCTAAAGCTCCCAACCGTTCGATTTGAACCGAATCCGAACGGCCGGTTCCGGTTCGGTTCATTAAAATCCAAACCGGACGATCACCCGTTCAGTTCAGTTCAGTTTTGGTTTCTTTATTTGAACTGAACGGAAGAACTGAAACTGAACCGAAACATTTTCGGTTCAATTATTTTTTTTGCTGCTTTTTTTTTTGTTGCTTTTTTTTGCACGTGATTTTTTATTTTTATCACCATTGTCGCCGTAGTATCCTAAAACAAAAATCAATTAGTTAACGTAATACAAAAGAAAATCATCTGTTTATCTTATTTCACCATTTTTTGTTGCTATTTTTTTGTTTTTACTGTCAACTGTTGCTATTTTATTATAAAAAATAAATTAATATAAATAGATTTAAAATCTGATTATTGAAAATCTATATGTATTATTGTGAGTATTATTATTATTATTATTATTATTATAGACATTTATATTTTAGAAATGTATTATTAAAATATTTATTTTGATCATTTGACAAATTCTAATAAGGAAAACTATATTTTATTTTTATCTTTTCTCTCTTCATATCTTAATGGAATTTGAGGAATATGAAGAATTTGAGATTGAACTAGAGGATGATTTAGATAATGAAAATGAACTAGAAGATGATTTAGCTAATGAAAATGATCAAGAAAATACTAATGAGAATGCAGATAAAAATACAGATGAAAATACAAGTCAAAATATGACTGAATCTTCAGATCTTATCAATTCTAAGAGAAATTTAAATCATATGTTTATGACCATTTTACATTAAATACTAATGAAAATAAATATAAATGCAATCATTGTGGGTAAGTATAAAAAAAATAACTTTAAATATAAAAAATAATTAATAATATTAATATTCTTTATTAATTTTAGTAAAAGTTACAAAGTTCCTAAAGATAAATCTACTTTGACTTTAAGAAGTCATCTTAATCATAATCACAAAAACTTACAAAAAGTTGTAACTTCTGGAGCAATGGATAAATATGTCATATCAGATAAAACCTTGATATGTAGAATATTATATTATTTCTTTAAAATTCTTTAAATATTTAAATTAATATTTAAATTAATAATAGATTTTTTTACAAGAAACTTGGCAAAATGATCTTGTTCAATGAATTGTTTCAATGACTAACCTTTTACTGTGGTTGAAGGTGTTTTTTTCAAAAATATGATAAAAAGATTAGATTTTGAAGCCAAATTACCTACTGGTGATTCTATATGAAATACTATTTTTAAATCTTTTTAAAATGAACAAAAAAATCAAAAATGAATTACAAGAAATTCTGACGTATTTCTTTTACCCTTGATGAATGGACTTCCAAAATCAAATATCATTTCTTAGTATTAGTGCACATTAGATTTCTAAAGATTGGGAATTAAAAAGTGTAATTCTTGAATTTAAAAAGTTAGATGGTCCACATTCTGAAGAAAATATTGCTAATGTTTTTTTAATACAATTAAGGAATACAATATTACAACAAAGGTTAACTTATTTTATTTATTTTATTTATTTATCATTTTATTTATTTATTTATTTTTAATTTATTATTATTTAATTTATTACTTTTAGATATTAGCTGTTACTACTGATAATGCTAATAATATGAATACAATGTTTAATTATTTAGATATTTTTTGTTCAGATAAAGGCATTGACTTTAAATCTGAAAATCATTGTATTTGGTGCTTGGCACATATAATTAATCTTGTAGTACAAGATATTCTAAAATCTCTAAAAGGAATGAGTCCAGAAAATGAAGAAAATGTATTATTAGATTCTATTAATAAAAATTTTTTGAATATTATAAAAAAATTGAGAAATGAAAAAGATATATTATTAGATTCTATTAATGAAAATTCTTTGAATAATATAGAAAAATTAAGAAAATTAGTAGTTAAAATACAAGCTTCTCCACAGTGGCATGATAAACTTAGTCAACAATGTAAAGTATTAAATATTAAAGATCTTCAATTAATTTCTGATGTGAAAACAAGGTGGAACTCGACATATGACATGATTGAAAGAGCATTAATTCTTCAAGAGGTAAATATTTTATTAAATTTTTATAATTATTTATATTTTTATATAATATTAGTTTGTTTTTTATTAGCCTCTTCATAATACAGTATTTGCTAATCAGAATCTATCATTATATTTGTTACAAGAAAATGAATGGAGTTAGTTAGAAGAAACAAAAAAATTATTAGAGATATAATTTATTTAATATAATAATTTTGAATTATATTTTAAATTACAATATTATTTTATTTTTATCCCTTAATCCATCTAGCGGGCAAATTTGCTTGCTAAAATTATTTTTGATTGACTTTTGTATGACTACTCATGATTTCGTTAAGGATCACCTCCCCCAATTACTAAGCAAATATGAGAGTGTGCTACCTTGCTGATCAATTCACGCTTTCTTTTCCACGATTCTTCTAATAAACTCAAGTTCCACCCCTCCCAAAAATAACTTCCATGTCCTCTTCAACTAGACCAAATGCAAGTTTAACTGTAAGCTCCTCCTCAAGTTTCTCTCCTCTCAGAAATACAGAAATATATGATGATGACAATGAAGAATATATTTCACTTTTAACATCCCGTCAACGTTCTTTGGATGATCCAGAACAAGACCTTGAGGATGACGAAGAGGATACCACGAGTGTTTCTAGGGGTAGACGTAAAGTAACAGTACGACTGCCTCCACCTTGTAATTTCGAATATTTTTGTTCACCTGAGGCCACAACATCGGACGTTTGTTAATTTACCAGCACATTACGATGCAAATTTTTCAAAACCAATAAACCTTTTTCTCTTTTTTTTTACTAACAATATGTTAGACACGATAGTTATGAATACAAATCTGTATTCATTGTCAAAAAATGCTGATGGTGCTGGAAGGCAGTGTCAAAACATAACTTGTAAAGAGCTTATTATTTGGATTGCATTGGTAATCTACCAGGAACTTTTTAAACTACCTTCAATAAATCAATACTGGAATGAGGATACGAAGCTTCCAATCCACGCTATTTCGAAACAAATGTCGTTAAACTATTGCCATATGCAAGGATTATTTGTTATTCAAAAAATTTACATGCTTAAGTATTATATTCAGGCACAATTGGTACTTTATTAGAAAATAAGATTATGCATACCTGGTATCATTCTACTTTACAAATAACAGCTTCCTGATTACATAATAATAACAATTTCTTCAAAGTATATAATTATTTTTATAATAAAGGTGATTTAATGGGCCACTATTAGTATTTCCAATTGCAAGAATATTATTAACTTTGGACAATAATATCAGATTAACGTCAAATGACTTGCAACCTACTGATATAATAGTTCCAAATACAAGTATTAATCCAGAAATTCACAATGAAGATTATAGATATTCACATTTAATAGCTGGATTTTTAATTGACAATAATGATATTACTTTACCAATTTCATTTTCAGATCCAAATATAGAACCTTTACTATTTCCAGATTTGTTTTCTTTAGGACAAGGTCATTATACAGATTACAATTCATCATGTAATAATAGACCAAATATTGATATATTAGGTAATTATACTTATTTATGTTTGCAATGTCCAGATTCCTGATTTAGATTACGTTGGTATTGATCTCATTATTCTTATTTAAATTTGGAGAAATATAGAAATCATCAAAACAGAATCAGATTATTGAGGCAATCTGCTGCAAATCAAGAATGCTTACCAACAATAGTAGATTTAATAAAAAAAAATACTTATTCAGGAAATAACATCATTGATGAACTACAAACTACAACAATTCTTTCATTTATTTGTACTGGTAATACTTATTGGTATCAAAAAGAATTAAATTTAATTACTATGGTTGAAAACTTTGGTTTACCAAAAATTTTCTATACAACAACAATGGCTGAAGGAAGTTGGATACATTTACATAAAATTCTTGCTTCAACAGATAATAAAAATACACTTCCAACAAATAGACCATATCATGTTTATCAACATAGATTAAAATCAATCCATCATTACTGGAAAAATCAAAATTTGACTAAATGAGGAAATTGGTTGCACCACTTTGAACAGCATGAATTTCAAAATATACTCATGAATTAGCATGGCTTGATAAATCAATTGAAGAATTAATTGCAAATAATATTATTAGAGCTGATCTCCCTGATGAAAGAACTTTATAACTTGGTGAAAAAAACACCAAATACACCATTGTAATCCTATTCATTGTGGCAGACCACCTTCTCTAGGTTCCTGATGCAAATATGGATTTCCTCAACCTTTATCAACTTCAATATACTATAATACAAATGAATTAAGATTTATGTATAAAAGAACTAAACTAGAAGATCAATGGGTAGTTCCATATCATGCACCTGCACTTTATATTTGGCAAGCTCATTGTAATATTCAATTTGTAGCCAATAGATTTCTTGCTGAATATATGTGCAAATATGCAATAAAACCAGAACCAACTGAATTATTTGAATTAAAAGAACAAAATACACTTAAAAGACATATTCATGCTCGTAGAATGGGAACAATGGAATTAATGTTATTATTACTTGGAAAATCTGTTTGTTGTAGTACCATAGCTGTTAATTACTTACCTCCATCTGCTCCTGCTTATCAAAATAAAGCAATCCGTCCTATTTATCAATTAATTAATGAACATGAACAAATTACAGATCCATATTATCAAAATGCTATTGATAAAAATTTTGAAAACCTATAGGACCAATATTTGATAATCTAACATATCTAATGTATCACAGAAAATTTAAACAAATATCTAATATACCTGTTAGAAGAGATTTTTGGAGAGATAAAAGTAATAGAATTATTGTAAAAAGAAAAAAAGAAATATTAATTTGATTTTGATACTTAACAATTAAAAATGCTGAAGACTTTTTCTATCAACAGTTATTAATTAAACTTCCAGCTCAAAATGAACATGATTTAAAAGGCAATTTCAATACTTATAGAGCTCACTTTCAAATTAAATTTCCTGTAGAATATACAGATATTATAAATTCAATATCTAATTCATCACAAACATATACTAATCAATTTAATATGAATTATCAAAATTTAATTGACTCATTATTAATAACATTACAACAAGATGTGATGACAATAATTGGCAATCAATTAACAAAACTTATTCCATCAATATCTTTTTTTTCAAACCATGAAACACTAATTTTACCTCCTGATCAATATTATGTATATAATATTCTTACTACCTGTTGGAAACCAAAATATTGATCTTGTCAACACCCTTATTTCTTTGTAACAGGTTCAGCAGGAACTGGAAAATCCCATATTATTCAACTTATTGTAAAATTTCTAAATCAAAAAATACAAATTATCTTTTAATGGCACCAACAAGTGTAGCAGCTCAAAATATTGATGGAAAAACAATTCATTCTGAATTACAAATTTCAGGAAACATTTATAATCTTCAATCAATTGTCTATAATGATCAAAATTTATATGAAAGATTATCAAAAGTAGAATATATAATAATAGAAGAAGCCTCTATGGTTGCAGCTCAAATGTTAACATTTCTTAGCATACTATTTGGCCGAATTAAAAAAAATTGGTGGAATTTCTGTTCTTCTTATTGGAGATCTTTTTCAATTACCACCAGTTCAAGGTGATTTAATTTTTATTCATCAGTATGGACAAATTTTTTTCATTATTTTTAACTACTTCTTATCATCAACAAAAAGATGAGACATTTTATCAAATGCTTGAAAAAATCAGAATAGGAAATATCACTGAAGGTATTATTAATGAAATACAACAAAAAATTTACAGATATAATTTTACAAATAATGTATTAGATACCACTCACATTGTAGGATATAGAAATATGGCATCAAATATTAATGATATTATTGAAAATTATCTTCCATCAGTTAACGAACATGAAAGTCCTTATGAATAAATAGCAATTGATTATATGGGTAATGCTCAAATGTCAATTACTGAAACAGATAAATTATGTCGTCATTATACTAGAGAAGGTATGAGAGTAATGTTTCTTAATAATTCATTATTCATAAAAGGACTATTCAATGGTTCCATAGGTGTGGTCTTAAAGTTATTGACAGTGACACAATTCAAATAGCTGTTCTATTAAAAAAGGCATTGCAAATGTAATAGTAAAAAAAGAAACTAATTATTTCAGAGTAAATGAAATACCCTCACACCATTATCAGTTTCCACTTCAAAATGAATTTGCATTGACTGTACACAAAACACAAGGGTTAACACTTCCTCATGTAACAGTATCTCTAGATGAAACAATATTTGCAAATGGCTTTAATAAAATTTATTTTATTTTAATTTAAGTTTAATTTAAATTATTAGATTTTTGCATTTAGTTAAATAAAATGCCTCTGACCCTGAATTCTTGTTATATTCAATAAATTTTATTGGGTATTTGCTAAAGCTCACCAGTGGTGATCGTCAAAATTACATAATTCCCTGATCAACCCTAACTTTGCTCATGCAAATTTTAATTTTACCCAGTGGCACCAGTGATCTTAAACAATTTTTATTTCATTTACCTGGTCATTTATTTAAAATTAAAACGCATATAAGATCTTTAAAAAAGTTATATTTTGTGATAGGTTCGAAAGTATACATTTAAAATGTTCAAAATCACCTCGCATCAACATAAATTTAGAAAAGGACCACACCTATTCATCTTCACAAAAAGCTGTAACAATATATTAGTAAACAAAACCATTTACCTAACCTATACCCTTGCATTACCAATTAAGTTAAAAGGATAAAAAGTGAAAGAATGGAAGTCGTGTAACGTTGTATAGTCCAAAATTATTCGGACATTTTAATTTTTATCCGAATTATGTTCATAGTTGTCCAAAGCGCATCGTCTAAAATTAGTAACAATGAATGAATAAGCATTTAAACATTTAATAAAAACCCTCTTAATATCCAAGATTACAAAAAAGAAACCTAAAATCTAAAAAAAAAAAGTTATTTTAAAAAATGACATACAAATTTTTAGAAAAGCTGTCTCATGACTTTTCAGAACTTCTTAATGACAAGGAAGAATATAATGTTATTATTGAAATTGGTCAAGAACAAAATAAAAGAGCCTTCACTGCACACTCGGCTATCTTACGTTATCGTTCACCTTACTTTAATAAAGAATTAACAAATACTCTTCCCAGCGATGATAATAATAATAAAATTATTACTAAACCAAATATTTCAACTCAAATATTTGAAATTATTCTCAAGTAAGCCTTATATAATTTATTATTATGCATTAATGGAGCATTTTGTATGATTCATAATAAGTTAAATAATTTGAATAATTTTATATAGCTATATCTACGGTGGTATTATTAACATTAAAAATGTGGATACCAGAACTATGTATGATTTGATGGTTGTTGCTAACGAGCTGGAGTTAGAAGAATTATCTGAGAAATTAGAAAATTATTTAATTGAATTCAAAGCTTCTTGGTTAAGAACTCATTTCACGTTTGTTTATCATTCAATTTTTAAACATAACAAATTTCAAATTTTAAAAAAGTTTTGTAATGATATTGTTGTAAAACACCCAAATATTATTTTTGGATCCGCAGAATTCACTTCGCTTCATGAATCTGCTATAGTGTCAATTTTAAAACGTGATGACCTGCAAATGCAAGAATCAGAAATTTGGGATTACGTGATTAAGTGGGGAACTGCACAGAATCCCACTTTACCCGAGAAATTGGAAAAATGGTCTAACGAAGACTTTATTACTTTAAAAATGATTTTACAACAATGCTTACCACTTGTTCGTTACTTTCACATTTCAAATTCAAATTTTATGTTTAAAATTAAGCCATATAAGAAAATTCTTGATAAACAAATATGGAATGATTTGAAATCACATCTTATACTTCCAGATCACCCAGTTGAATCCATCATCCTTCCACCAAGATTGGTTTTAAAGCAAGAATTACCAGCAAGAATAATCAAACTATTTTCAACTATAATTAATGAAGAGCATACAACAATGATTTCATCATGGATTGATTATCGACGAAAAACAAGCCATTTTTTTAAAAATAATCCTTATGAATTTCAATTACTTCTTCGAGGAAGTAAAGATGGATTTGCTCCAAGAACTTTTTGGGATATTTGCGATGGGCATGCTAATACAATTGTGGTCACTAAAGTTAAAGGAGCGGACGAAATTATTGGTGGATTTAATCCCTTAGCTTGGGATAAAACAAAAAATGCCTATATGGGAAATAAGAGTTTTATTTTTTCATTTAAGGATGGTAATATCCAAAATTCAATTCTTAGTAGAGTCAAAAATAAATATATGGCTTTATCGTATCCTTCAAAGAAAGATAAATATGGTTCATATTTTGGATGTGGTGAATTCATGATGAAATCCAATGTATCCGATTTTACTCAAGATAAGCTAAATCAGTGTTGTAGTCCTTTATATTATGAAAAATTATTAGAACTGTTGTTGATAAGTTTTCTATTATAGATTATGAAGTATTTAAAGTTGTTAAAAAATCTATCTAAAATTTAATTTTTTTTTACTTGGTTTAAATTATTATTTGTGCATTGTAAATTAATTGATATAATAAATAATTGCTCAGAAATAAATTAATATATTAAAATATTTATTATTAATTTTTGAAAGTTCTAAAATTATAATACAATAGCTGTAGTTTTTCCATGTCTTTTAAATATATCTAGTGTTAAGTAGTTTATAAAACTACAAAAAATATTTAGTGATTTAAAAATCGGACATGTTAATTTAGATGTAACTAGAAAAAAATATAATATTATAATATGAAAGAATAATATTTAGAAGATCTTTTCAAAATCTTAGGTTTTGAATAATTGAGAAATCCACTTGTATAATCTTCTTCTGGGAGTAGTTGCTTAGCATTTTCAATAGAATTGTTAATTTCGCTAATATTTTTATAATTAACTTCATGACATGATTAAGGTCAGATTTCTCTCTCTTATTCTAAAATATAATAATATTTTCTAGCGGACTCAGTTTACTAATATATGTGTATTTATCTTCCAATAATTTTTTCCAAAGTCTTACACTACTTTCAGGATAGAAACTTTCGTATAATTTAATTTAATATAAATAGTTTAATTTTAGTTATGCGTATTGAAAACATAATTTAATTAATTTAAAATTAATATTTCAGATATATTGATATACATTAAATAAATAATAATTTATTTTATTTATGAGCGCAGTCTTGTAATTTTTTATTAAGTAAAATAATTCTCAAAACAAGTGTAATGATGATTCATATATTTCTAAAAATAAAATAAAAAAACTTTAGATAGATTTTTTAACAATTTTAAATACTTCATAATCTAAAATAGAAAATCCATCTTTAGTTGCTCTGACAGGTCTTTTATAATAACTATTATTTTTATAATAATGACAGCACTGATTTAGCTTATCTTGAGTAAAATCGGATACATCCGATTTCATCATGAATTCATTGTTTCCAAATTTTGGACCATATTTATCTTTATTTAAAGAATACCTTAAAGCATTCTTTGCTACCTTAACTCTACTAAGAATTGAATTTTTAATATTCTCATCTTTAAATGAAAATATAAAACTCTTATTTGTTTTCATCCACTCCTCTTTTGTTTGATCCCAAGCTAAGGGATTAAATCCACCAATAATTTCGTCCGTTCCTTCAACTTTAACAATCACAATCGTATTCTTATGCCCATCGCAAATATCCCAAAAGGTTCTTGGAGCAAATCCATCTTTACTTCCACGAAGAAGTAATTGAAATTCATAAGGATTATTTTTTAAAAAATAGCTTGTTTTTCGTCGATAATCAATCCATGATGAAATTATTGATGCATGTTCATCATTGATTATAGTTGAAAATGATTCGATTACTCTTGCTGGCAATTCTTGTTTTAAAATTAATCTTGGTGGAAGGATAATGGAATTTATTGGTCGACCTGGAAAAATATGATGTTGCTTCAAATCATTCCATAACTGTTTATCAAGAATTTTCTTATATGGTTCAATTTTATTCATAACATCAAAATTTGAAATGTGAAAGTAACGAAAAAGTGGTAATAGTTGTCGTAAAGTTTTTTTTAAAGTATTAAAGTTTTTGTGAGACCATTCTCCTAATTTTTCGGGTAAGGTAGGATTCTGTGCAGTTCCCCACTTAATTACATAATCCCAAAGATCTATTTCTTTCATCCATAAATCATCACGTTTTAAAGTTGACACCAAAGCAGATTCATGAAGAGAAGTGAATTCTGCGGATTCAAAAATAATTTTTGGATGGTTTAAAATAATATCATTACAGAAGTTTTCTAAATTCTTAAATTTGTTATATTTAAAAGTTGACTGACAAACAAAGATGAAATGAATTTTTAACCAAGGAGCCATGGAATCAACAAGATGATTTTCTAATTTCTCGGATAATTCTTCAAACTCTAGCTCGTTAGCAACAATCATAAAATCGTACAAAGTTCTAGTATCCACATTTTTAGTGTCGATAATTCCGCCATAGATATACCTATACAAAATTATTCAAAATGTAAATCACACAAAAATACTCTATTAATGAATAATAGTTAAATTATGTAAAGGCTTACTTGAGAATATTTTCGAATATTTGAGCAGAAATATTTGGATTCGTAATAATTTTATTATTATTATCATCAATGGGTACAGCATTTGTTAATACTTTATTAAAGTATGATGAACGATAACATAAGATATCCGAATGTGCAGTGAAGGTTTTTTTATCTTGTTCTGGACCAACTTCGAAAATAACGTTATATTTTTCTTTAATATTAAGAAATTCTGAAAAGTCTTCGTCAAAAAATTTTAATATCATTTTTTTTTGTTATTTTAGAAGGGTTTGGGAAAACTTAATTATTTTGAATGAATGTAAACAAAAAAAAATATATATTTATCGCTCACGTGATAAAGTATTAAATCAAGATCTGATCACCATAAATTAAAAAGAAAATTAAATAAATAGAAATGTTTATACATTGATAGAAAAAAAAAATACAATTAATTTAATAATAAAAACTACAATATATTCGATCACTTCTATAGTTCTACCACCTCCAAGTAACACTTCTTCCTCTTCATACTCATCTCTTTCTTCGCCATCATCACCTAAATACTTATTACCACTTAAACGACACCCTAATAAAAGAATAAACAAATAATAATCCTGCTACTGCTAAAAATACCCATTGAACATAATATAATATAATTCCAAAGAATGGAGTGTTTATCATTATTTGATGAAGAAATGTGTGGGTGTACAGATGTCTAGCGTGATATATATAACAGAACATATAATGTAATATAATTAATAGATTATTAATATATACGATAAATATGTATTAATTGGGAATAATCTTTACAATCCCGGATATCATCATTGGTAAGATTGCACTGAATAACATATTGAATAACATATTAAATAACGTATTAATTAAAATATTAATAATAAAATATTAATTAAAAAAATATTAATAAATATTAATTAAAAAATATTATTAAAAAAATATTAATTAAAATATTAATTAAAATATTAATAAAATATACTAATAAATTTACATTAATAAAATATATAAAACATATTAACATATTTCTGACTTCCGAATTGAGCATACTGAGGAGTGACCACCATAGTCAAAGTATAATCCAAAGCCAGTAAACTTAACATTAGTCAAATAATATCCTTGAGGTGGAGCAGCTTGACGACGTATTTTGAATAAAGTGATCTATAAAAATCTCATGCCATTGAGATCACACCAATGATGGTATTACTGAAGAAATAAAGAATTAATAAAACGGCGAAGAAGTAATCTTTTGATAAATTAAAGGAACATATATTAATATGTATAATGTAAAATGTAAAGTAAATTCATAAATATTTATAAAAAATAATCAAATATAAATATTACTTTTTATAAAAATATAATTTAAAGGATTAAATTTATCTGGATGCAGAATAATATACCCACATTCTCTTCCACAAAACGAATTCTTTAATTTATCAATACTACAAAAAAAAATTAGATAAATATTCAAAAGTCAGACAACCGCAATAGACTGACACAAAATAATAGTAATACTGTAAATTTACCAAGTCAAAAACATTGAAAGTATTAACACAATTGAACATAATGCCACCAATAACGTAATAATATGATATCATCATTATTTCATTTATGTGTGATAAATTTAATAAATGTATATGTAAACAATAAACCTATTTCAAACGGTCTAAAAGTAAGTAAAATTTTTGTCCCATATATAATGTATCCCAGTTTTAGGTACATCAAATTCTCTCAATATACGTTTTAAAATTCTCGACAAAATAATAAAACAATTATTATTATTATTGTTATTACTATAATATAAAACATAATAAAATATTCGCTAAACAAACCTTTCTTCGGTTCGTAACTTTTCCAATTGTTTCGTATCAACCTTTGACATCACATTATTACTAGCATTACTTTGCTTTCTTATTTTTTTCGGAGTACTATCACTTTTAAATTTTCTCGTCCAACTATTAATTTTATTGGAAGTAATGAAAGTCCTGTTGCTGGTGCCTTTTACATAGAATAAATAACATTAAATTGTATTGCAGTATTAGATAATTTAATCCTTACGGTGTAGGTTATAAATGCTGTCATTCCCAAGACCATAAGAACTTTTATAACGAATAGAATACATTTTTCTCCGACTGAAATATCTATGAGAAGTTTAAAAAAAATAATATTAAAGGGATACTGGAGTTAGGTAAATATTTTTTTGTGTCACTGATATATTATTACAACTTTTTAAAGAAGGTTATGAAAAATAAATAGTTACCATAACCATACTACTTCGAATGTGGTCCTTTTCTAAATTTATATTGATGCCGCTTCGTGGTTTGATAGTCTTCCATTTTACGAGATGATTTTAAGCATTATAAATATCTACATTCTGTAACACTTTAAAGATTTATATCCGTTTTAATAATCCTAATTACAATGCAATGCCAATACTTTAAGTATAATTTATGCTAATCCTTATGTTAGTATTTCCTTTTTGAATTTGGGCGTGAAGTCAAACGTGTATCGTCCAAAATTAGAAACAATAAATGAACAAGAATTTGCATTTAATAAAAACCTTAATATCCAAAATTTCAAGAAATCTTAATTCTAAAAAAAAAGTTAATTTAAAAAAAAAATGAAATTCAAATTTTTAGAAAAGTTATCTCAAGACTTTTCAGAACTTCTTAATGATAAGGAAGAATATAATGTTATTATTGAAGTTGGTCAAGAACAAAATAAAAAAAACTTCACTGCACACTCAGCTATCTTACGTTATCGTTCTTACTTTAATAAAGAATTAATAAATACTGTTCCCAATGACGATAACAATAAAATTATTACTAAACCAAATATTTCTACTCAAATATTCGAGATTATTCTCAAGTAAGCCTTTATATAATTTAATTATTATATTGATAGAGTATTTTATATTAATATTAAGTTGAATAATTTGAATAATTTTACATAGCTATATCTACGGCGGAATTATTGACACTAAAAATGTTGATACCAGAACTATATATAATTTGATGGTTGATGCTAACGAGCTGGAGCTTGAAGAATTATCTGAGAAATTAGAAAATTATCTCATTAAATCCAAAGCTTCTTGGTTAAGAACTCATTTTACTTTGTTTATCATTCAATTTTTAAACATAACAAATTTCAAAATTTAGAAAAATTTTGTAATGATATTATTGTAAAACATCCAAGTATTATTTTTGAATCCACAGAATTTACTTCGTTTCATGAATCTGTTTTAATGTCAATTTTAAAACGTGATGACCTACAAATGCAAGAATCAGAAATTTGGGATTATGTAATTAAGTGGGGAACTGCACAGAATCCTACTTTACCCGGGAAATTGGAAAATGGTCTGATGAAAACTTTATGGCTTTAAAAACAACTCTACAACAATGCTTACCACTTATTCGTTATTTTCATATTTCAAATTCAAATGTTATGTTTAAAATTAAGCCATATAAGAAAATTCTTGATAAACAAATATGGAATGATTTGAAATCACATCTTATACTTCCAGATCACCCAGTAGAATCCATTATCCTTCCACCAAGATTGGTTTTAAAACAAGAATTACCAGCAAGAATAAACGAATTATTTTCAAATATCATTAATGAAGAGCATACAGCAATGATTTCATCATGGATTGATAATCGACCAAAAATATTTTATTCAAATTATTCTTCAAGAAATAATCCATATGAATTTCAATTAATTCTCCGAGGAAGTAAAGATGGATTTACTCCAAGAACTTTTTGGGATATTTGCGATGGGCATGCTAATACAATTGTGGTCACTAAAGTTAAAGGAACGCACGAAATTATTGGTGGATTTAATCCATTAGCTTGGGATAAAACAAAAATTGGTTGGATGGAAACAAATAAGAGTTATATTTTTTCATTTAAAGATGGCAATATCCAAAATTCGATTCTTAGTAGAGTCAAAAATAAATTTCTTGCTTTATGGTATCATCCAGACAAAGATAAATATGGTTCATATTTTGGATGTGTTGAATTCGCGATGAAAGCTGATTCTGATTTTACTCGAGATAAGAAAAATTGGTGTAAAAATGCTCGTTTTTATGAAAAATCTATCAGAACAACTCAAGATGGATTTTCAATTATAGATTATGAAGTATTTAAAGTTGTTAAAAAATCGATCTAAAATTTTATTTTTTACTTGGTTTGAATTATTATCTTTATAATTAGAGAATTATAATTGTGCATTGTAAATTAATTAATATAATAAAAGAATTGTTTATAAATAAATTTAATTTATTAAAATATTTATTATTATTTTTCGAAAAGTTCTATTATTATAGTACCAATTGCTGTAGTTTTAAACCATGTCTCTTTTATTTAATAATGTTATACCTAGTATTAAGTAGTTTATAAAACTACAATAAAAAATATAAAATAATTAAAAAAATATTTAGAAATTTAAAATTCGAGCATGTTAATTTAATAAAGATATAAATAAATTAGCATTGTTCATTATAAAAAATAATATTTAAATTAGAAGTCCTTTTCAAAATCTTAGATTATAAATAATTGAGAAGTCTAATTGTTATAATCTTCTTATCTTGGGAGTAGTTGTTTGGCATTTTCACATTTTTATAATTAACTTCATGACATGATTAAAGTCAGATTTCTCTCTTATATTCTAAAATAATTACTAGCGGACTAAGTTTACTAATATATGTGCATTTATCTTCCAATAATTTTTTCCAAAGTCTTATACTATTTTCTGGATGGAAACTTTCATATATTGATTTTAATTTAATATAATGGTTAAATTTTAGTCATATTAAAAGCATAATTTAATTAATTTAAAATTAATATATATTTCAGAAAAATTATATACATTAAATAAATAATAATAATTCTTAAAACAAATGTAATGATTCATATATCTTAAAATATAAAACAAGTAAAAAACTTTAGATAGATTTTTTAACAACTTTAAATACTTCATAATCTATAATAGAAAATCCATCTTTAGTTGATCTAATAGGTCTTTCATAATAACTATTTTGATGATGACAACACTGATTTAGCTGATCTCGAGTAAAATCAGATACATCGGATTTCATCATGAATTCATTGTTTCCAAATTTTGGACCATATTTATCTTTATTTAAAGAATACCTTAAAGCATTATTTGCTACCTTAACTCTACTAAGAATTGAATTTTTAATATTCTCATCTTTAAATGAAAATATAAAACTCTTATTTGTTTTCATCCACTCCTCTTTTGTTTGATCCCAAGCTAAGGGATTAAATCCACCAATAATTTCGTCCGTTCCTTCAACTTTAACAATCACAATTGTATTATCATGACCATCGCAAATACCCCAGAAAGTTCTTGGAGAAAATCCATCTTTACTTCCTCGGAGAATTAATTGAAATTCATAAGGATTTTTTGTTAAAGAATAGGTTGTACGTCGGTTATCAATCCATGATGAAATCTTTGAAGCATGTTCTTCATTGATTATAGTTGAAAATAATTCGATTACTCTTGCTGCTGCTGGTAATTCTTGTTTTATTAAAACCGATCTTGGTGGAAGGATAATGGATTTTATTGGTCGATTTGGAAGTATAAGGTGTTGCTTCAAATCATTCCATAACTGTTTATCAAGAATTTTCTTATATGGCTTTATTTTAAACATGACATCTAAATTTGAAATATGAAAATAACGAATAAGTGGTAAGCATTGTTGTAGAGTTGTTTTTAAAGCCATAAAGTTTTCGTCAGACCATTTTTCCAATTTCCCGGGTAAAGTAGAATTCTGTGCCGTTCCCCACTTAATTACATAATCCCAAATTTCTGATTCTTGCATCTGTAGGTCATCACGTTTTAAAATTGACACTAAAACAGATTCATGAAAAGAAGTGAATTCTGTGGATTCAAAAATAATACTTGGATGTTTTACAATAATATCATTACAAAATTTTTCTAAATTTTGAAATTTGTTAGCTTGATAAGTTGAATGGCAAACAAAGACGAAATGAATTTTTAACCAAGAAGCCTTGGATTCAATGAGATGATTTTCCAATTTCTCGGATAATCCCTCAAACTTCAGATCATTTGCGACAATCATCAAATCGTACAAAGTTTTGACATCTAAATTTTTAGTGTCAATAATTCCTCCATAGATATACCTACGATATATAAATTATTCAAATTATTTAACTAAATGTATATGTTCTATTAATGTGTTATAATTAAATTGTGTAAAGGCTTACTTGAGAATAATTTCGAATATTTGAGTAGAAATATTTGGAATCGTAATAATTTTATTATTATCCTCATCACTGGGAACAGTATTTGTTAATGCTTTATTAAAGTATGATGAACGATAACGTAAGATAGTCGAGTGTGCAGTGAAGGTTTTTTTATCTTGTTCTTGGCCAACTTCAATAATGACATTATATTCTTCTTTATCATTAAGAAGTTCTGATATGTCTTGAGATAACTCATCAAATAATTTTAATGTCATTTTTTATAAAATAAATTAAAATTTCTTTTTGTTATTTTAGAAGGGTTTGGGAAAACTTAATTATTGAATGATATGTATTAGATTGTTTTGAATAGTAATAGGATCCGGTCAAAATTTATCCGGATAGATACTTTGGTAAACGGATGTTTTTTCCGAATAAACGGATATCCTCGGATATCCGTTTCCGTTCAACTATAAATTGCTATTTGGAAATAATTTTTATGATTGTTGCCACATATGAAACATTTTGTTTTAATATGTGAATGTCAAAAATAGTACTAAGTAATCTTAAAGAAAAAAATGAATAGCGTTTATATTAAAATAACAGACTTATATCATCAAAATTAAGAGAGCCACTAGCGGTTAAATTTCGAACGGGTAAAAACATTTTAAATGACAATTGTTCGGTCAATTTTGAATATATACACCTATCTTTTAAATATATAATACGCAATTAATTCTAAACTTTGAAGTTACTTAGTACCATTTTCGATATTCACTAACAATATAAGAAGTCTAATATGTAGCAACGGTCGGCGATTTTGTTATAATTACATGTAATAATTATAACTAAATTACAAAATCGATCGTTGCTACATATAAAACTTATTTTGCTAGTGAATGTCAAAAATGGTACTAAGTAACTTCAAAGTTTAGAATTAATGGTAAATTGACCGAACAATTGTCATTTAAAATATTTTCAAAATTCAACCGTTAATATTTCTCTCAATATTGATGATACAGGTCTGTTCTTTTAATATAATACGTAAAATATTCTTATCTTTAAGGTTACTTAGTACTGCTTTTGATATTTACTTATTAAATTAAAATATTTTATATGTAGCAATCATCGATGATTATTTCTGATTCTTATTTTGTTACAAAAAAATTAAAATTATATCGCGCGAAATATTTATTTTATCCACGGATATATATACGGATAAGTACGATAACCACGAATATCTTCGGATATCCGCGGATATATTCGAATAATTAATTACGGATATCTGTATCCTCACGAATATCCGTTCACCGATAAACGGATATCCGGATCCCACCACTAATTTATGATGACTAAATTAAATAAATTATTATAGTTTTTATTGTATTAAACAAAAGAAACAAAAGAAAATTGATAAATGATAAAATTTATGAATAAAAATCAAAATAAATAAAAATATGTATACATTGATAGAAAAAAATACAATTAATTTACAACTAATTAATAATAATAAAAAATAAAAAAGATATTTAATATATTATTCAATCACTTCTATACTTCTACCACCTCCAAGTAACGCTTCTTCTTCCCCTTCATCATACTCATCTCTTTCATCGCCATCATCACTTAAATAATACTTATTACCACCTAACGACATCCTAATAACAGAATAAATAAATGATAATCCTGCTACTGCTAAAAATACCCATTGGGCGTAATATAATATAATTCCAAAGAATGGAGTGTTCATCATTATTTGATGAAGAAATGTGGAAATTACTGTTGGTGTACAGATGTCTAATGTAATATAAATAAAAGAACAAATAAATACAGATAATGCAATATAATTAATAGATATATATAAATATGTAATTAATAGATCGATATATAATATTTAAACTTACCAGTTGGAGCGGTAACATCACAGGGAATAATTAATTGAGGATAATCTGTACAATCCCGAATATCGTCATGAGTAAGATTACACTGAAGAACGTATTAAATAACGTATTAATTAAAATTTTAATTTAAAACATTAATAAAATATTAAAAAAAAATATTAATTAAAAAAATATTAATTAAAATATTAATAAATTATTAATAAAATATTAAAAAAAAATATTAATTAAAAAAATATTAATTAAAATATTAACAAATTATTAATTAAAATATTAATAAAATATTAAAAAATTATTAATTAAATTATTAATTAAAATATTAATAAAATATTAATAAAATATTAATAAATTATTAATAAATTATTAAATATACTAATAAATCTACAAATCAAGTAAATAAATAAAATAGACAAATATATAAAACATATTACTAACATATTTTTGACTTCCGAATTGAGCATACTGAGGAGTAACCACCATAGTCAAAGTATAATTCAAAGCCAATAAACTTAACATTAGTAAACTAGCGGCAAATAATAATCCTTGAGGTGGAGTAGCTTGACGACGTATTTTGAATAAAGTGATCCATAAAAATCTTATGCCTATTGAGATTACACCAATTATGGTACTACTGAAGAAATAAAGAATTAATAAAACAGCGAAGAAGTAATCTATTGGGAAGAACTGTAAATCAAAGGAACATATGTTAATATGTGTAACGTATACGTGAAGTAAAATTCATAAATAATTATAATAAATATACGAATATATAAAAATATTACTTTTGATAAATAAACGAAAATATAATTTAAAGGATTAAATTTATCTGGATGCATAATAATATATCCACATTCTCTTCCACAAATCGAATTCTTAATTTTGTCAATGCTACAAAAAAAAAAAAAAAAAAAAAAAAAAAAAAAATTAAATAAATGTCAAAATTCAGACAACTACCTCGGTCAGAAATGAAATAATAATAATCAACTTACCAAGTCAAAAACATCGAAAGTATTAACACAATTGTTAAAATTAACAATATAACGCCACCTATAAACTATAATAACATAATAATATGATATCATTATTATTTTTATACTTAATATAAATATGTATGATAAATATAATAAATGTATATATGAACAATAAACTTACTTCAAACGGTCTAAGAATAAGTAAAATCTTGTCCCATATATACCGTAATCCAGTTTTAGGTACATCAAATTCTCTCAATGTACGTTTTAAAATTCTAAACAAAATATTAAAACAATTATTATTATTATTACTATAATATAAAACGGAAGACGTAAATTATAAAAATATTCATAAAAAAACCTTTCTTCAGTTCGTAACTTTTCCAATTGTTTCGTATCAACTCTTGACATCATATTACTATTAACATTACTATATTTAGCTCTAATAACTCGTTGCTTTTCTTGATTAATTTTTAACAGATCATCAATTTTTTTCTGAGTACTATCACTTTTAAATTTTCTCATTCCGACTATTAATTTTACGGGAAGTAATGAAAGTCCTGGTGCCTTTTATATTCAGAATAAAAAAAAAATAATATTAAATTAATTTATAATTGTATTAAATAACTTTATTAGATAATTTAATCCTTACAGTGTAGGTTATAGATACTGTCATTCCCAAAACCATAAGAACTGCCATAACGAATGAAATACTTCTTTCTCCGACTGAAATATATAAGTGAGAAAATAAATAAATATTAATCCGATTTTAAATATTGTGTAATTATTGTGTAATTATTATAAAAAAAATTTTTTAATCTTAACTGCTTCCAGATAAAAGCTTTTTAAAGTAATCCAAATCAATGGGAATTTTTTCTTGCGGTTGTATTAAAATTCCAAAGATCAAACAAATAAATATAAATGCGATAAAGAATATTGTGTATTTTAATGCTCCCATGAATCTCTAATTAATATATATATATATATATATATATTAATTTATAAATAATATTTATATTTTATAGATTAATTAAAAATAATTAATAATTGATATAATTAATTATTATTTAAAATTTAAATTAAACCTGCTGTGTAGTTTCATCTTCTTCAAGTTCTTCAAAATAAAAATATGCAAAAGGAATTAAAGTTCCACAAAATATTGCAATCAATCCATACATTGCTATATAAATTAATAAAATATTTAAAAAATAATTAATTAAATAAATTAATCAAATAATATTTAATCATAGAATAATAATAATAATAATAATAATAATAATAATTGATTTACCATAATAAACAGATTTGATTTCTCCCACAATACTTTCCACCACATCCTTGGTAGCCCAAGAATGTTTTAATCCAGTTTCTGAATTAGTTGTGGATGATACCAAAAATATATCTACCGGAAATAATGCTATGGTACTTAAACATAAAGTTAAAGCACCAATGGTAACTACGGTAGCCAAAAGTTCACTATCTCGTTTATCTTGATAATATTTTGTAAATATTATACTAAAAATGAATAGGAGCTATTTTCGGATTTTTAAAAATTTAAATTTAATAAATATTGATTTATTAGATAATTAAATTAAAAATAATAATAATTATTATTATTATTGTCAATTTATCAATTTATGAGAATATAAAATAACATACACCAATAATTGTAACATATGTAATCCAAGCACTCGCAACTAACACTTCCATAATTATTATAAATATATTGAATATTAAAAAAAACGAACAAAAAAAAAAAAGGCGTACGATATGAAAATTACGAGGGGAAAAAAATTTGAATTTTTATAACGAACGAATTAGGTGTTACTGCGCAATGAATTACATCGAATCGCGTCACGCGCTCTATAACCACCAATAGAAATAATTAAAAATAGTTAAAAAACTTTTTGATCATTTCATCATCGATTCCAAAAATATAAAAAATTATGTAATCATGTTTAAAAATAAACTTTCTAAAATACCAAAACATCAAATACACGATCCATATCCCTATAATGCCTTTTTTGAAGTCGGTATTTTCGTATTGATCATTGTAATTTTCTTTTCTACACACGATTGGTCAACACTTTTTAATACTAAAATGAGAAAGACTTTTCCTAAGGTAAAATATCAAAATGTTAAAATGTTGTGGTTTGGTGATGGTGATGGATCCTATTGTATATGTCGCGTTTCGGTAACTTTAAATAATTATAATAATTATAGAATAAATAATTATAATAATTATAGAAAAAATAATAATAATATAATGATAATATTCTAGATCACAGGAAAAGATAATATGTCGCGTCAATTCATTTATCCCAATCATTGGAAAAGTGGAGCTCTTTCTGTGTCACAACTGGTAAAATTTATTTTTTTTATTAAAAAAAAAATTTTTATTAAATTTCATTTTAAATTATTTAAATAATAAATACGTTAATTTATTTAATAATTATATAAAATAATTTAATTAATTAAGTATTATATTTTATAATTTAAAAAGGTTGGTCAAAATTGGCAATCCAAACCAATAATTCCTACTTACGTCTTCGTTTATATATTGATCTATTCGAGTTTATTATATTTCCTTTCTACACAGTGGGGAGAACCAATAAAACAGTCGGAAAATTTTACGTGCAATATGATTAAGTAGTTTTAGGTAGTGGATAATAATAAATTTTAATCAAATAGATTTATTTTAAATAGAAAGTAGAATTTAAATAGTATTAATTGGAAATTCTTATTTAGTAGAAATTATTTGATGTTATTAAAATATTGTGATAATAAAATTTGTATTATTTCAATAATCTCAATCTCAAAGAATAATTAATCATTATATTTTTTATTATTTTTTATTATTATTTTTATTTCGTTTGTTTGATTTTAACGACGTGTGGCGTCATATACGAAGCGAGAATGATGTGATGTGATCATATATGACGTGAGAATAATACGCATACAGTATGAATGAATGAATCTTTCAAAACTTTTAATTAAGCTCAAAAAAAAAAATAAATAAAAATAAATCTTTATTATTTCATTATTTCAATTTTTCAAAGAGTTTTGGAGCAGCCTGATAATAAAGAAACAATAAATGAATAAATTAATTAATTAAATTAAATAAACATTAAATAAAAAAAGGTTAAAAAAAAATTACTTACACAATTATTCACACAATGTAAAAAATGGAATAATTCCTCAACACCTTTAAAATATTTAATAATTAATTAAATAAAATAATATTAAATAAAATAAAATAAAAAAATAAAAAATATAAAAATGAAATTAATTGAAAAATGAAAAAAAAAAGAAAGATTAAATAACTTACAATTTTCATGAGTTCCACCAGCTTCAACTCTTTCTGTACATTGTTCAAGATGATGTTTTAATGGTTTACAAGCTATAGAGTTACCACAGGCTATATATATATATATATATATATATATATTTAATTATATTAATAAAAATGATAATAATAATTCTATAATAAACAGTTCTTTTATTTTTCTTTTCTAAATACCTTCATCAATAGCTTCTTTAACATCCACAAGTTCTTCTGAACTTTCCTCCGTTGTTGCTGCTCCTCCCCCTCCTTCTGTCTCTCCTTCTTCCGTACCCTCAATTTTGGATTCAGCATGAACCACTGAAAATATTCTACTTTCTTTTTGGTGGTCTTCGGACTTTCTTTGAGACATTTATATTACAGAATTACAATTTACTTATTCTTTTTAAATTATCTTATTTATTTTAATTCTATTTTATTTATATTTATTTAACTATAATTCATCAATTCTTAATTATTGTTATCAAAATGCCGAAAAATTTAGACGAAAGAATCTTTACAGTGTCCAGATTATCGATGGTCATCAATTTATACATACAATTTTTAAAGTCACACCATTCAACTATTAAGCAGCCCGAAGGAAAATCCCACGGGCGCCATTGATATCTCTACCTCCAACACTTTAAACACTTTTCTCCCTTCTAATTTCCTATGAACCAACTGCGCGTTTTTGTTTCGGACTAAAATTACTCAATATTTTTTCCCTCCACAATAAATAAGAATATCACAAACAAATAAAGTTTTATATTCTCCCTTTTGTTGCAAATGATCTACATAAATTTTATTGTGATTTTAATAATTAAAAATCAAATTTATGTATCATTTATATAGAAATAAGAGTATAAAATTTCATTAATTTCAATTTTTAGAGTAAAAAATTTGAAACCTTTACAGTAAATACAAATTATTTTTAGCTTTAAGTATAGTTATTAATTTTTTGATATTTACTTATAATAACAATCGATAATTATTTTTAAATTTAATTTTTTAATCGATAAGATATTTTGATCAAAAGTTATCATTTTCAAGTCAAGAATGTGAAGATTTTTGAATATGAACAATATTGTTATGCAATTAATTACGGAATTATGAATTTATATCACAATTCCATTTAAATATTAAAGACTTGTAAAAATAATTAAGGACACATATCTTCAATTGTGATGTGATGGAAGATAATAGCTTCATTAATTATATATAAAGAAATATAAATTAGTACTATTTACTTGTCAGTCTGTTTTAAGTCTTTCCTTAGGTTTTTTTCTAAGTCCTTTCTTGAAAACTCTCTTTAGATTTTTATATACAATAAACTTGCAATATCTCTTATCTATTTCTATTTATATCAAATTCAGAATGCAATAATATTTATATTATGACTTAATTATGACATTTGCAGATTGTTGACCAGATTTATGAATTATAGGATTATCACAATTAAGCAACTCTCCTTAATAATACATTAATTCTGGCAAGTATCTTTAATTTACACTAAGCAATATGAGGATGAACCAAAGTGTCATTGCAGGAACAACCACAGACAACACTTAGTCAACCCTTCTGAATATGTAATCCTCAAAGGTAGTCGTCTACGCGATAACACAATTTGAAATCACATGCAGTTATCACTAGCTAAATACATGATCCTAAATGACATTTCTTATTTCCTGATTAAATAAAAGAACGAAATCACTGAAAATTTCCTTGTTTGAGAAATAAAAAAAATTACAATAAACAAAGGTGATCTACATGTTATAAAAAAAATGTATCCCCGTTCGAGAGGTACGATGATTTCAATTTTTTCGATAGAAGATTCTTTGTTAAAATGGTTCGTGTTACATTCATACGGATGTAATTATTCATCATCAAATTATTCTTTATTAATTTCATTGGGGAGCTCGCTGTCGATTTTTTTTTTTTAGTTTTTCTTTCACGCATTCAGTTCAGTAGGAATTGCAATTTTTCAATTTTAGCGATGAAGATATTCATATGCCTCTTGTGGATGACCAATTTGAAATCTAAATGGCATGAATTCATCTATAACATTAATCTCAAAACTTCTTTTCTTCTTTGGGAGCTTTACCCAGGACAAGATAATATACCAAATTGAATATCCAGGCAAAAATCTCCATCCTTTGACAATCATTTAATACATTTAAAAAATTTCTGATAGGCATGACTAAGCATAGTGTTACCTATGGTACACACACAATCGATCACTGACCCATTTTTTCTTTATTATTTTCGTCTCTTAAAATGAAAAAAGTGAAATAGATCAAAAAAGAGTGGAGTTATGTTAGCGAAATAGATTTAAACAGATCAGTCAAAAAATTAATTGAATCGAAAAAATTCAATAGAAATATGAATTTTTTAAAAAAAAAATAATTATGATTTAATTTTAGAAATAATATTAATGTATGTTTTATCAACCAAGCATTTATTAGTAGTAATACTTATTGAAATTGAAAAAAAAATTTTAAATTTAGAAAAATAAATACTTATGAAGTAGTCATTATTATTATTATTATTAGCTGTTCCTTTTTCAAGAACGAACTTTGACAGTTTGCGACGGGTGAATGAATCGAAAATGCTATCTAAATGCTCGTGTAGTAGTTTATTTAAAATTATTCCTGTCAAAATACTTGATAAATGATGATAATAATATATATTAATATAAGTCATATTGTATTACCTTTATTTAAGGAAATCAAGTGATATGAATACATGTATATATATGTATATCGATTGCCAAAGAATAACCCGATAATTTGTATTTTAATTCATCCCCTGCTTTTTCTTCTGACCATTAAGCATTATCGTGTCATTTTTTTTTTATCTGAGAGTTAGAGTTTATATAAAGTTATTTAAAGTTTATTTTTGATTTTTTTTTTTTTTTTTTTTAAAAAAAAAACAATATGGTAAAAAGAAAAAATTAGAATTTTTTAAATTGATTTGTAATATATCGTTTTTTTTTTTTTTAAGTGAAAAAAAAAAACGGAAAAGTAATATTATTGATCTTACTTTTTTTTTTAACATTACCACAAATTTTATTACTATTATCATATACAGAATGCATTAAAGTCTGCTCAAAAAGAAAAAGTTAGACAGTTTATGGCGTTTACTAGTGCAAGGTAATAAAAATGAAATTTATCACTTTATATCGAATGTGTAATATATTCTTAATATTTTAATATAAATTCTTTAATAATTCTTTAATATTTTAATATAATTCTTTTAATAATTCCCAATTCTTTAACATTTTTAATTTAATTCTTTTAATTTTTTTAATAATATAATTCTTTTAAGTGAACGTATTTCTATCCGAAAACTCAAAGAATTCAATTGGAACGTTGAAGTAGCAGTTGATGCATTTTTTAACGATCAACCTAGTACTACTACCTGGAGATCATTTGGAGGAGGAGGTTTACAAGCAAATACTGATACTTATAAACTTAATCAAATTTTTATGAAATATAAGGGTTAGTTGGATTTATCAAATAATTTTTCTGTAATATAATAATAATAATAATATAATAATAATTATTAATACACAATATTATATATATATATGTATATTTAATATAGATAAAGATGAAGATGCGATTTTGGTGGATGGAATGGTTGAATATTGTAACGACTTACATGTGGCACCGGAAGATGTTGTTATGTTAGTTATTGCTTGGAATTTGGAATCGGATAAAATGTGTGAATTTAAACGTCAAGGATTTGTTAATGGATGGTCTAAATTAAGGTATCAATTATTATTATTATTATTATTATTATTATTATTATTATTGTTATTATTATTATTATTATTATCGTTCATTCTCGTTTGATTCTTATTATTCTTACTGATTTCTTCGTTTGATTCTTATTTATCCTTTACTTATTCTATTTATTTTTATTTTATGTTTATTGATTATTGAAGGTGTGATTCTATCGAAAAAATGCGTGCAGCAATACCTCGACTTCGACAGTCGATGAAGGATGATAACACTTTTAAAGAAATTTATCAATTCACTTTTAAATTTGGACTGAATGAAAATCAAAAATCTTTAAGTACGCTTTCTTAAATTCTCATGATTTATTAATCCAATTTACAAATTAAAATAATTAACTTTACGAATTTTAAAAAAATTTATTCAATTTTATAATTTAGGTCTTGACGTAGCAATAGAATTTTGGCGAATGTTATTAAATGATCGTTGGCCGCATCTTGATATATGGATAGATTTTGTAAAAGTTAGTGTTTATTATTAAAATAATAAAAAAAAAAATATTTCACATATTCTTTGGTAGATTAATATATATCATATAAATAAGGGTAAAAAGAAATAATTTTTTTTTTGTTAACTATATAGGAAAAACATGGCAAATCTATTTCCAAGGATACATGGAACTTGGTAAATAAGAATATATATTTTCATCTAATTGATTTTTTTTTTATAATTTCTTTTTGATTTTTTAATAATTATTTAGCTACTGGATTTTATAAAACAAATTAATTCTGAACTTTCTAATTATGACGCCGAAGGTAATAATAATGATAATAATAATAATAAATAAATAAATAAATAAATAAATAATGAATATATATTGTATTTACAAATTACAAATTACTCATTCATAATTTTTTTTAAACCATTTTTTAGGCGCTTGGCCAGTTCTTATTGATGAGGTATGACTATTTTAATGAATTTTCGTTATTCTCAAATTTTAAATTTTATTTGCACTCAAAATTAATTATTTACTTATATTTTTCTTTTTTCTTTTTATTTTTATTTATATATATATTTTTTAATATATTTTTATCTCATTTATTTGATTTTATTTTAATTTTATTTTTCAATTTATTTCAATTTATTTCAATTTATTTTTGCTTTTTTAATTTTTCAGTTTGTGGAATATTGCAGGGAAAAATTGCAATTACAAACATCATCATCCTAGAGAGAAAAGAAATATAAAAAAAGTTATCAAATCAATCATCGTCATTCATACATTTTGGTAGACAGACATTAATATAAGACAAAGAAAAAAAAAGGGGTTATCAATGATCAATTTGTTAGAGAAAGTATATATACAAATATATATAATAATAGTAGGATTTTCCTGATTCTCCTTAAAAAAGGTTAGAGAAATAAATAAATGCATATTAATTTCTTATCCTTTTTTATAATAATATTATTTTTTCATTCTTTCTTTTCTCCATCCATCTGTATAATTATTCCCTTTTTATTTATACATAATTATTTTTTTTTTCCTTTTTTCTTTTTATTTTTTTCTTTTGTATTCTTTTTTTTTTTTTTGTAGATATCATATTGTTATTAATATTGTTGTTGTTGTTTTGTTCTTTTTTAAATTTTTAAATTTGAATTTTTTTTCTCTCTCTCTGTGTGCGTGTTTGTGTGACCGTGTATTCTTACGTTGATGAATAATTGTTATGGGCAGATTAACTAACCGAATGCACAGATAAAAAATTCACCTCATTTCTACTTTTTCCTCCTCCTCTCTTCTTTTTCACTTTGGTGATCTCTTTAATTCTTTTATTCCTAAATATATATATATTCTCTATCCTCAATCAAACAAATAATTCTTTTATTTTTTTCTACTAATTAGTTGTGGCTGATGAGGCATTGTTTATACAAAATATATATATATACATATATATATATATATGAACAATTTATTTTATATAACAAGTTAATTTGGGAATAATATTGGTGGGGGATAATTATTTGATATTTAGGTGTTTTGCCTTTATAGTTTTAGAATATGGGATAGAAAAAAATCTTTCTATTCTTGGTTATCATAGATACAGTTGTTATTGTATTAATAGTTTATTTTATTAAAATTTTTTATGGACTTTTTTTGGAAGATAAATTAAACTTGATTATACTATTTATTAATTATGATTTTCGATTATCGAATTGATATCAGATATATGCAGTACGCATTTTGAATTGATACGCACGCACGAATTTATGGTATGGTATAGTCAATAAAATAATTAAAATAGGCATCCCCGGAGTCTGAAAAACATCAGATGTAATTCATTATTCCTAATTTAGTTATAAATTTCGTCGAATAGCAACGTAAACTCCGAAATCATAATACAAAAAGAAAACAAAACAGAATAACTTTCTTCGTTGAACGAAAAATGGCATTCCATATTCCAAAAATTATTATTCGGATGTAACGATGACGCATAAATAAAATAAAAAAATACTTGGTTACATTTTTTTATATTAACGTTTGTATCTTAAAATTACGTTTTTCTTTTTTTTTTTTTTTTTTTTTTTAAAAAAAAAAAAATGACATTTAAATTTTTAGAAACATTGTCTGAAGACTTTTCAGAACTTCTTAATGACGGCGAAGAATATAATGTTATTATTGAAGCTGATAAAGAACAAGATCAAAAAATCTTTACTGCACATTCAGCTATCTTACGTTATCGTTCACCTTACTTTAATAGAAAATTAGCAAATACTATTCCCAGTGACGATAATAATAAAATTATTACCGAACCAAATATTTCTGCTCATATATTCGAAATTATTCTCAAGTAAGCTTTTTTTTTATATATAATATAATATAATTTAATCATTTGAATATTTTTCGTGTAACGATATAATATTTATTATACAAATGAAATATATATATTGATATTTTAGGTATATTTATGGAGGAGTTATTGAAACAGAATTTATGAATACCAAAATCATGTTTAACTTGATGATTGCTGCTAATGAATTTGAGTTTGAGGAATTATCCAAAAAATTAGAAAATCATTTCGTTGATTCCAAAAATTCTTGGTTAAAATCTCATTTCGCCTTCGTTTATCATTCAATTTCTAAAAATAATAGATTTAGAAAATTAGAAAAATTTTGTAATGATATTATTGTAAAAAATCCAAGTACTATTTTTGAATCCACAGAATTCACATCTCTTCATGAATCTGCCTTAGTATCAATTTTAAGACGTGATGACTTACAAATTAAAGAATTGGAAATTTGGGATTACGTAATTAAATGGGGAGTTACACAGAATCCTAACCTACCCGGAAATTTGGAAGATTGGTCTGACGAAAACTTTGCCACTTTAAAAGCGACTCTACAACAATGCTTACCACTTATTCGTTACTTTCACATTTCAAAACCGGATGTTATGGATAAAATTAAACCATATAAAAAAATTCTTGAAAAACAGTTATGGAATGATTTGAAACAACATTTTATACTACCCGATCGACCAATATCTTCCGTTATCCTTCCACCAAGATTATCTTCACCTCAAGAACCGGAACCATTTCCAACGATCATTAATGAAGAACATACCACTATGTTTGCATGCTGGATTGATAATCAAGAAATTCGTTATTCTGCAGGAAATAATCCTTATGAATTTCAATTATTACTTCGAGGTAGTGAAGACGGATTTTCTCCAAGAACTTTTTGGAATATTTGTGATGGTCATGATAATACGATCGTGGTAATCACAGTTAACGGTACCGACGAAATTATTGGTGGGTTTAATCCTTTGGCTTGGGATAAATCAAAAAAGGGATGGGTGAAAACGAATAAAAGTTTCATATTTTCATTTCCCGATGGAAAGATCCAAAATTCAATCCTTAGTAGAGTTAAGAATAAAAGTTACGCTTTATCTTATCCCTCTGAAAAAGATAAATATGGTCCAATATTTGGATCCTACGAATTCACGATGAAATCAGATATATATAATTTTGCTCAGGATAAACAAAATCGGTGTGATAGTGCATATCGTTATGAAAAATCGATTAGAACAACTAGTGAAAGATTTTCGATTATAGATTATGAAGTATTTAAAGTTATTAGAAAATCCGGATAAAGTTTTTTATTTTTATTTTTATTTTTATTTTTATTTTACTGGTTTTATAATTAGAAATATCATTAAAACATTTATCTTGAAAAATTATTTAAATTATTTATTTTATTTATCTATAAATTAATTAATTAAATTATTTTTAATATTATTATAAAATTATTATTTACTAATATTATATTATTAAATATCGAGAAAGTAATAATATAAGACTTTAAGAAAATTATTGGAAGAGAGAAATATATTGTTGAGAACGTTAGAAAGTATTATTATATTTTTAGAATATGAGATAGAAAAATTTTATCTAATCTCTATTATTGTTATATAGATACAATTTGATACAATTAATAAAAAATATTAAACAAATTAACAATTCAGATTAAAAAGAAATGTTTTAAAGTTACTACTCCACTTAATTATAAAACACATCCAAAAGTAATTTCGACTATTAAACTTTATGGCATAAAGCTCACCAGTGATGATTGTCACCACCAGGCAAAATTACTGATCAAACTCTAACCCTAACTTTGCCCATGTAAATTAAAAAATTATCCTTCACTTAAATTACACGTGCCTGATTTTTTACTTTAGTATTGACCTAAAAAACCGAAATCCTGTCCAACGTGCGTAAGCATTAAATAAAAAAAACTTCTTTATATTAATGTTTGTATCCCAAACCTTTCTAAAATTACGATAAAGTTTTTTTTTTTTTAAAAAAAAAAAAGAAATGACATTTAAATTTTTAGAAAAGTTGTCTCAAGACTTTTCAGAACTTCTTAATGATAAAGAAGAACACAATGTTATTTTTGAAGTTGATAAAGAGGAAAATAAAAAAACCTTCACTGCACACTCGACTGTCTTGCGTTATCGTTCATCATACTTTAATAAAGTATTAACAAATACTGTTCCTAGTGATGATAATAATAAAATTATTACGAATCCAAATATTTCTGCTCAAATATTCGAAATTATCCTCAAGTAAGCCTTTACACAATTTAACTATTATTCATTAATAGAGTATTTTTTTTGTTCGTTATATAATATGAAATATTAAGTTGAATGATTTGAATAACTCTTTATAGATACATTTATGGCGGAATTGTTTATATAGAAAATATGGATACGAGAATTATTTACGATTTGATCGTTGTTGCTAACGAGCTGGAGTTTGAAGAATTATCCGAGAAATTAGAAAATTATTTAATTGAATTCAAAGCTTCTTGGTTAAGAACTCATTTCACATTTGTTTATCATTCAATTTTTAAACATAACAAATTTCAATTTTTAAAAAAGTTTTGTAATGATATTATTGTAAAGCATCCAAGTATTATTTTTAAATCTACAGAATTCATTTCTCTTCATGAATCTGCTTTAGTTTCAATTTTAAAACGTGATGACCTGCAAATGCAAGAATCAGAAATTTGGGATTACGTGATTAAGTGGGGAACTGCACAGAATCCCACTTTACCCGAGAAATTGGAAGAATGGTCTGAAGAAAACTTTATGACTTTAAAAATAACTCTACAACAATGCTTACCACTTATTCGTTATTTTCACATTTCAAATTCAGACGCTATGTCTAAAATTCAGCCATATAAGGAAATTCTTGGTAACCAATTATGGAATGATTTGAAATCTCATCTTATAATTCCAGACCACCCAGTAGAATCCATTATCCTTCCACCAAGATTGGTTTTAAAACAAGAATTACCAGAAAGAGTAAATGAACCATTTTCAATTATTATCAATGAAGAACATGCAGCAATGATTTCATCATGGATTGATAATCGACCAAAAATATTTTATTCAAATTATTCTTCAAGAAAT